ATGGAAGCATTGCTTCCAAGAACTCAAATTTAAATGTATGTAATATATGCCTAGGAATTCTTCAAGAATTCTGTGAGAAAGATTTCATTAAAAAGGTAAATAACCTGTTTTTCATTATAGGTGTAATTACATGGAGATTTTCAGTTCTAAGACCAAGAATTCTTTCTTTTCTTTTTTGGAGACAAGACAATTCTTTTTTGGGGGGTTGGGGGGGGCAGTCTCATTCAGTTGCCCAGGGTAGAGTGCTGTGGTTCAATCACAGCTCACTGTAGCCTCCAGCTCTTGGGCTCAAGCAGTCTTCCTACATCAGCCTTCTGAGCAGCTAAGGCTACAGGAATGTACTACCATGCACACCCAATTTTTCAATCTTTTTGTAGAGGTAGAGTCTCCTTATGTTATTGTGCTGGTCTTGAACTCCTGGCCTCAAGTGATCCTCCTACCTTGGCCTCCCAAAGCGCTGGGATTGCAGGTGTTTGCCACTGCATCTGGCTAAGGCCAAGAATTTTTTTTTTCTCTTTTTTTTTTTTTGAGATAGAGTTTCACTCTTGTCACCCAGGCTGGAGTGCAATGGTGCAATCTCAACTCATTGCAACCTCTGCCTCCCAGGTTCAAGTGATTCATCTGCCTCAGCCTCTTAAGTAGCTGGAATTACAGGAACGTGCCACCATGCCCAGCTAATTTTTGTATTTTTAGTAGAGACGGAGTTTCACCATGTTGGCCAAGCAAGTCTTGAAATCTTGACTTTAGGCAATCTATCCAACTTGGCCTCCCAAAGTGCTGGGATTACAGGTGTGAGCCACTGCGCCCAGCCTTCTGTTTTTTGTTTTTGTTTTTGAGACAGGGTCTCACTCTGTCACCCAGGCTGGAGTGCAGTGGTACAATATCAGCTCACTGCAACCTCCACCTCTGGGCTCAAGTGATCCTCACACCTTAGCCTCCCAAGTAGCTGGGACTACAGGCACAGGCCACCATGCCTAGCTTCAAGAATTCTTATATTGAAAGGAACACTGCCATTCATATTCAACTTGTTTCACACAATTGGATCATTAAAATATTTTCTTAATTTTTTTTAAAACAAAAGCCTATCTCAAATTACTTTTTAATTGACGTATCTGAAAATAAAATGTGTATTCATGTATTTCAGTCATAAATGCTATTTAATTGAAGAAAAATATAGCAGTTTGTTTTCATTTTGCTGTTTAACCATAGCTAAGTGACAGAAAAATTCATTTCTAATCATATTTATCATTGTCCAGGAGATTACAGCCTTGTAGAAGGTAAATGATTTCACTGGGCACGGTAGCTCATGCTTGTAATCCCAGCATTTTGGGAGGCCAAGGCAGGTGGATCATGATGTCAGGAGTTCGAGACCAGCCTGGCCAACACAGTGAAACCCTGTCTCTACTAAAAATACAAAAATTAGCTGGGTGTGGTGGCAGGCACCTGTAATCCCAGCTACTCAGGATGCTGAGACAGGAGAATTGCTTGAATTCGGGAGGTGGAGGTTGCAGTGGGCCGACATCGCACCACTGCACTCCAGTCTGGGCGACAGAGCTAGACTCCGTCTCAAAGAAAATAAAAAAGGTAAGTGATTGAACGTGGGATTGCCTTTTGTTTTCTTCTGTCAAGAGTGCTATGTTTGGGTTTATTTTGTTTGAAAATTAGAAGGTGACCTAATAGAAAGCTATTTTGACACTTAATAGTTTATTCTGCAGATGTCACTCCTGGCTGTTTTGTTTCCTTGTGGTATTAGTCTTCAGGGTCCTAGTTAGGCAATATTTAATCTCAAGATATTTGTGAGTGTTCCACTGTCATGTGAAAGTTTGGAATTTTTGCCATGTCATCTACTGGATCAGAAATTCGTGTTATGAAGATTAGAGTAAGTGATATTTTCAGCAATTCCTGGGAATTTACACAATTGTAATACTTTTTTAGGTGTGCCAAAAGGTTGAGGCCTCTGGGTTTGAATTCACCAGCTTGGTATTTTCAGTCTCCTTCCCACCACAACTATCTGTAAGAGAGGTAAGGTCATTTGCATGCATAAAACTGTATGTGAAGTGCATGCTAGGAATTTTTCAAAAAATTGGAATGTAGTAATATTTCTTTATTATATTTTTTACATATTGTGTACATATTGAATGATTGAAGCAATTTATAGCTGCTTAATAAATACTTGTTGAATGAATAAATGACAAAAGGAATTAGTTTTGTCCTAACAAAGCAAGTGAGTTTGCCCTAGGACTGTCATCTTTTTTAAAGTCCCTCAATCAGTTGCAGACATTCATTATTAGCTCCATGTAAGGTATGATGGTCAGAAAAGAGATTTGACTAGGTTTCCGGAGATCTTTTGAGGTGGATATGTGCATTTTAGAATGGTCCTAGAATAGGGTCATTTCAATTATGATGAACCTTCTTCTTTCTGGAGTAAAATATAAAGATGGCATATCTTCTGGTCAATGACAAAAGGTAGAGAAATAGCCTTATTTTTAGAAACTGTTTTCTTTGTTGAGTGAAAAAAAAAGTTGTTACTGTAATATTCTTATGTGTCAAAACTGACATGAAAACATAAAGCTTTGTTAATACTGTTAAATGAAGTATAGTAAGAAACATCTGTAATCTCAAATTACAACCAAGGTTTGTTTGTTTTTTGTTTGTTTGTTTTTTGTTTTTTTTTGAGATGGAGTCTCGCTCTGTAGCCCAGGTTAGAGTGCAATGGTACAATCTCAGCTCACTGCAGCCTCTGCCTTCTGGGTCCCGGTTCAAGCAATTCTCCTACTTCAGCCTCCCAAACAATCATGGGTTCTAAGCATAACTGTTTATATTTATGAGATGTCTTTCCCCTAAGAAGCCTACAGCATCACCAGAACATTACATTGTAAACCCTCACTTTCTTTGGGTGAGCATGTTTATTAGCCCCAAATAAGCTGAAGATTGTTGAAGCTGGATGGAATGATAAAGAGCCGGAAGTGAAAGAGAGTAAGATGATTTTATATAGTATCTGTGTTGCTAACAAGACAACTAACTGAGCAAATGGAAGTATAAATGGGATGATGATGATGATATACTGGGTTTATAAACACTTAAAGTCATTTTCTAGTCAGTCATTAAAGCATTTCTCACTGATGTGTCATCTTCTGGTCCAATTTTGGTATAGAGAAACAGACTTCCAAAAGCTGAGTGACTCTCACTTTAGTGAGAGTTTTGAGTAACAGAAATAGGAATAAGAAGTATATTTTCTGAATGTGGTTATATATCTTACCACCAAATCCTTCCTCTCAAAGCTTATGTTTATATATTTCCCTAACCCTCAGAACCTGTGAATCAAAGTTTATATTTTTACATTAAGATTTGTGTTGTCCATTTTTATCACTTATTTGATAATTTTAACAATATTAATGTTACTATTTATGAGGTATTTATATTTCATATTAGAAACAGAAGATACTGTTTTTAAAAGTAGAATTATTCTGCTCAAACTCTAGTTTTTATAACTAATTTTAGCCAGAAAACTATTTAGCAGAAATATGTCACTGTTCTGATTATTGAAGAATTAATATATTTCCACAGTT